GTGTCGCGACGTGACCGGCAGCCTCGACAATTCCGACGCGGTCACCGCGCGGTACCAGCGTGAAAATCGTTCCCGTTCGAACGTCATTGAAACCGCGCGGAAAAGTTATTCTTCGGCGCAAACGCGTTCAATAAATCGTCCGGCGATCGTTTCGAGGACTGCGAAAAAATTCGACTTGCACGATCGAAGGTTTTGCCACGGTGTATATGTACCTCGATCGCGGAATGGCTTTTCGACTAAAAAAACACGTGTCCCGGCTCGATCACATCGCTCAAGTTTGCGCCTCGAGCGGTCGTAACAAAGTTGGAACCACAACGGTGAGATATACGCTGCTCGGCACGCGTTCGCGCGAGGAGCGCGGGCCGGTTATTAATATCGGTCACCATTCTGTCGTTGCTTACGTTATCCTTGATACATTAATGGCAATAACCAGAGCATAAATTCAGCGGCTATCGGCCGGGGAGCAACGCGCGCGCTGGAAACTCCGCGGCGATTGCAAATGAGAAATTCCGCGCGTCTCGCCCGGCGCGCACGACCCGTATAACGTCTCTACTCCGAGTTTGTACATAATTTACCTTATATAATGCGCCGCGGCGTTTGACCTTTTCCGCGGCAATTTACGGAAACGCGCGTAGAAACATTTTCCTAAAACAGAATACAGCCGGAACGGTGATCTACGGCGCGGATGAGTGAAAATCATTCAATCGCGGAAACTATAATGGCTTCGAACTGATAAATTGGACGTACCATAAGGTAACGTTGTTGTTACGATCGCCGCAACGTCGAGATCCTCGCGGATACGGAAAAATGATTGTCTAGGATTTATTAGATGCATCGATGTTCTTCGGTTTTACTAGCGCTACCGTGTTCTATAAGTGTTCTCCTATAAAGTTCGCAGTAACATAAAACCTCTAACGTTTCGAACAGTAATCAAATTTTTACACAATTTCTAGTGATGCCGTCAATAACAAAAGCTTTGCAAGTTACGTCTCATGAAACAAGATCATCTCGTTTGTAAGTGTAACTTTATGACTCGAGATGTATAATATTCAAAAGTGATAAAGTCTTCGATATAATTTCTCGTTGAAACATTAGTGTTCCAAAGAGATTAGAGACATTAGCTTCCAACAACATTCTTATCCGATAGGCTGAAACGATTTTTCTTCGATAGAAACCTTGAATATGAATTGCCAAGAGATATCACTTGTCGTGCCCACTACATAACGATTTCATAAACCGTACATAATCCTAATCGCGGCGGTTCCCACAAGCTAAAACAGGGTAAACTAAAGAAAATAGGGCAACGATGCTAATAATTTACTTAATACACGTTACTTATCGTTTAGAAGCGTTCCATAACGCTCCACGGAAATCGATCGCGGCTTTCCCATCTTGCCTCGAACACGACTCGTTCGATAAATCATATAACGCCCCGTATCGCGGGCATAAACCTACGAAAAGGATAATAATTGCGGAGCGGGTTCCAGGACCGCGCGAGGTAAACCGCCGATAATACCGAATTCAATAATTCAACCTGCCGAACCGGGGTGAAACCGTATCGCGCGAAAAATGGATAATAATCGATTCGCGGTTGCAGCAACCTGTTGCCTAGGAAACAATAGCGAGCGTGGCAATAAAACGTTCCTAATGACGGGGAGCCGGTTAGGGGATCGTTCGATTCGCATGCTCCAGCGCGATGAAAAAAAGAAAAATGAAGGATCGCTAATTATCGCAGAAACCACGGTTACTATATCGCTCGATACGAATCCGATGGTATTTATTGGTGCCTATCTCGAAGGTACCGATCCCTTTCGCCTCGATGCGATTCCACCGCCATTATCCGAAAACGATCGATCGTGATCGGCTGGCCGCCAACGAGCCGACACAAAGGGTTACCATTTTGCATGGGTACCGTGGCCGTGTTGCGCGTCCCTCTTCTCTAGTCTGCCAGCTAAGCCGAGCAATCGATCGAGGATGTCGGGATTGAGTATGGTACAGACCCCTTGGCGTTGTATTATTATGGTCCGCACAATTGCGGGAGGAAGTTGTATCGAAACAAACGATATTGTTATATTGACATGGATTTTTGAAAAGGAAACTTTAGTAACGCTAATATTAGACGGCTGGCAATTAATGCTGTCGTTTAGTAAAATTGTCGAGACCGAGTGTAAAATATATATTACGCAATGTACTGAACAGTTTCTGGTTTGTGCTAGTTTCTTTGGAAGCCAGTTAAGCTGTCTAACAAGAACCGAAGAACGATCTAAAGTTGATATCTTACGTGTACTAATTTCTGTAGTAGGTGCAAGAAACGACGGGAGTAATAAACGGACCTATCAAAGGAATAGGTGTTTATGGCGAATTAAATAGTTCTATGGAGACGATCGATTGAAATCTCACGTCTGTCGGACAGCCGTGGAGTTAATTACGAAGCACGGTAGAGTACAGATCGGACGGACTTAGTTGATTAAATGGAATTCCAGGAAACCGGATTTCAGTGTGCGCTGAAAGGGAAATGGTTGTACGACCGACATTGTGAACGCGTTTTATGCAAATCTCTGGAATTATGCTTCTTACTCTTCTTTCTCGAGCAGACAACATTTGACTGCATTCTGTTGCATGTAAACAGCCCTACGAACCTAAATAATAAAATGGAACAGCATAAAATAAAATATAACAGAGTAAGATAATATAGAATAAAATAAGACAGAATAAAATAAAATACAGTAAAATAAAGTAAAACAGAATAAACAGTACAATAAATGTCCGTAAGCCTAGTGTGAATAAAGGCCAAAGCTAAAACTATTCACGAAGGAACGAAGACCGTATATCGTCGCCGCTAATAAACGTATTTGGCGAACGAGGAGACGCCATTTCCAGCAACGGGCTGCATCAGATATACATACATAGGAATCGGCGGCTACGCCCTTATCGGAAAGAGCTAATGGTACCGGTACACACGGCGCAACCTCAGACGGCGGAATCCAGGCTAAGAGTCGATTCTCATGGCCTCTCCCGTATCCTCGTTCCGGCCGACGAAAAATCATGCGAATCGGGTGGCTCGTTTTAATGAAATTTTACCGTACATGCTGGGCTCGGCTTGACCCACCTATCACGCACGAGTTCAATTTACTTTCGACGGATCGTCCCGCGAGCGATGCGACTTTTTCCCCGGATGTACTTATGAAACGTAAAAATCGGAATGTTCACGGTCAATTGAGATCAGCGAGTCGTTAATCATCCTTCCCCGATACGTTCCGCTTGTTTGATCATTTTTTCCCTCTAACCTGTTTTTAAGTGTCGCAAAAATGAGTAGGGAAATAATTGATTATTTGGCACGTTTATAACGACAGCAAGACGCTGATGTATAAATCTCAGAAGAGTGAGACGTGCGAAGTGAAATTGAAAGCACCAAGGTGCGAAATTGATAACGGAATTTATAATGAATTGAAATTACTATGGAAACGTTACTGAAATCGTAAAGTTTAAAAGATTATCTCCTTATAGGAATTTGTACACGCGAGAAGATTATAATTCAGTGCAATCTCTTTCGTTTGACGGAAAAAGTTCGGTAAGCTGTTCGCTAACAGAATTTATATTAAATGACAATCGTAAAGGATGCCCGCGAGGATCCACGCAGGTCGCTCTGATCCCACGCAACCGGTTCATACGTTTAAAAGCAACCGGCCACACGATAATCCCTCTGAACTTTGCAAAATTTTACTTCGATCGGAACGAACGACGTTAAACGAGCACAGCATTACATTTTCAGCGTGGCGTGCGATCGGTTACGTGCGCGATCCGAGTGGTAAGAGGGCGGAGAGGGGAGGCGAGACAAGTTGTACATAAATTCATTAATTCGAGACACAGCTGGGCCTGTATCATCGTACAGGAGAGACATTTTCATTCCCGCAGCCGCGAACGGGGTATGAATTGTGCAACCGGCACCGTGCAACCCCATGTGGGAGTGCATAAAATGGCAGGTATGAGAAGTAAGCGGTCCGGATCGTAGGAGATAGTTTAAAGTTAAAACGACCTACGCCTCGGCTCGCCATAAATTTTCGTCTACCCGAGCACGATACACGCCGCTACCCCTCGTCGTTCCACTCCCTGTGCGCTCGCGCGCGCACGATCCTGCCTGGAAATGTTCACCGGTGGCAACAACGATCGAAGGAAAATGGCGATCGCTATTTACCGAGGACCGAGCGACGTCACTTTAATCATACGTTGCCTTTAGACATGATTTTAATTAAAAACTCATTGAGAACACTGATTAATAGTTAGATGGAAGATAGAAAGACCCTTCAAACAAGAATTAAACAAGATGAACGCTATATTAACAAGCTTCTGATAGCTTCTTACGAACGAATAATTTACCTGTTTTTAATTTATCGTTCTAATATTTTAGAATCTACTATAGTACCAGTTTTGTACTTCTATTTTAAACATTATCTCCGAAGCATCATCCGTGCGGATGTATGTCCTTGAAGAGGTTAACGATTTCCGCGCGTGACTTCAAATAATCAGCCATCTCCGTGGGGGGATAGAAGAATGAGAATCAGCGCAAAAAACTCCGGGGCGAACTTAATAGACTTTTTCCACGGCGAAGACGGACCAGTTGGTTTCGGGAATTATCGTCGGCGAGGGATCCTTTGAAGTGTTCCTTCGATCTCTCGTGAGATTGGAAAAAGAAGAGAGGCGGAGAGAGAGAGAGAGAGAGAGAGAGGAGAGTTTCTGTGTGAAATTCTAATTTCTCCGTTAGCCACGGAATGAGAAGGAGAAGACTAACGATCTGTTGTTGCCCGCGAAGATAGCCAAACACGTCTGAACCAATGGATCCTTGCGAGACCTTAACCGAGGATCATTAGGAACGCGACGATCGTCCTCGCAGTATGCCGGCCCGGCCATGTTGTCGCGACCCGGATCCAATCGCAGAATTCTCGAGGAACATCACGACTCCCATCACTCCTCGTGACTGTCGTTACTCAAAGGTCACCTACCTTTCAGACCGGGATGCGCAACCCATTTACGTACCGCGATGATGTCGGTCAGTAGTTCCTTCCGAATATGCATTCGACGAACACACGGCGCCTTCTTAGATCGCTGAAACAGATTGAAACGTTGTTTAGATCAATCTCCTCGCCTATGCTGTATCGAGCGACTGAACACTTTGCCACTTGCAACATCACTAATATATTCAATGTAGATTTTATAGGTGTAATAGATCGATCATTGTAATTAGCTGTATTATAAAATAAAATGGAAAAGGAGTATGAAGTATTCGTAGTTACTAGTATCTAATATACTAATCTAAAATACTAATAAAAAAAGGATTAAGGAATATTTTTTCCAGGTGTTGAATAAAAATAGAGTTGACATTGTACTATATATGAAATGTTATCTTTGCCTGGAACGAAATGAATTCGCACGAGTAAAAGTCAGTGCTCACGATATGAAAGTTTTGATATCCTGCTCCCAACAGGAAACTTCCAAAGTAACCTGACCGAGAGCACTTACACTCGACCCGAGGATCATCTAAAAATGATGAACTAACGGTTCCATCGCGGAAGGGACGATTACTTTCTTGTGTCGGGAGCTGGCACACCGTTTACCGCGTAAAATCGTCCTGTAATCGTGAACACCGGAAGGAAACACGGCCGGGCCGAAGTGCGCATATACGATTTCATAAAATTGCCGTGTCGTGTAGGGAAGCTGCGCGTATCCGCCATTGTGTCCCGCGATCCAGCGAGTTTCACGGAACACCGGTGAAAGCTGACGAATCCACGGAAAGTCGGTATTTGCATGAAATTTACAACGACAGTCCTTTTTGTCTCGTTGCGCGGCGCGGCGCCTCTCTTCCGCCCGGCGATTTTATTTCTCGAAAGGTCGTGGGTACCTCGATATGTTTCACCGAGATACCATCTCCTCTCGTGACCGTCCACGCAGGAACGCCGCGCGACGCCGACGGTGCGGGCACCAAGATACATGGACTTGCAATCAAACAATTCCATGAGAAGTGCCAATCATCCGCGCGCAAAACCGGCCCCGTTCAACGAGCCATTGTTCTCGAATCAATATCTATTTGCACAAGCCACCGGTGCGAGCGCGCGCGCGCGCGCACACACTCTTCTATTGGCAAACGAATTTGAGAAGCCTGTGGGAAACCTCGCGCCGCCTCCATTGTTAACTTCTCCCGCTCTGCCCGGTAATCTCGTTGCGTCAACGAACTTTCAATTATTAAGTAATAAGTTTCCGCGGGTCTTTTCGAGAGATCACGGGCTATACTTCGAGGGAGCATCTCTCGAACAATAGGAAAGTGAAAAATTAGATAGCTGTAGAAGCTAGCTTCAAATTCTCATTATCGCGTGATATATATTGCGCTTTACTTATAGAGTAGTTAAAGAGCATTTCATTGGAGTTTAAACACAAAAATTGAACTATTATGACGCATTGTAAGAAAGAGATTCATTACTGATCGAAAATATCCTGATTATCCAGCAAGAGTCACTGTCATTGGTTAGGTCGTTTTAAACAACGCGCAAACTTGTGTACAATACTCGCGCGGTTGAAGTAACTATAATGCAACTAAGTACTGCATACGCATCGCGTCCGGCCGTTTAATACATGTCAATTCCCATTCTCATGAATTATTCCTTGAAAGTAACTGTCGCTGAAAAATTATTCCCAGCAATTAAGGGGTTTATTAAGTCAAAAGCTGGGGTCCCCATTAATCTTCACTTAAGTTTATAGTTTATTATGTCTTACGGGCTCGAATGTACGCATAAAGTCCTTAATGCAGTCATAAAGGATGAAGAAGTACGTATAATGCGTGTCTAGCGAATGCAATTATTTAGACACGAGAAAAACCATTGACGATCTATAAATCGATCCTATTAGGTAGCAGTGTAGCCGAATGACGATTTAATTTATAATCGGCTGTTAAACGGCGGCGATCGCGTTTCTCGACTATCGGTAGCGACGTTTCGATATAATGGAACTCCTCCGGGGAGGCTTCCGCGAGGCCAGCGGCCGGCCTTCCCATAATCCGCAATAAACATTCCAGTTTCCCACTCGGAGCTATTTAAACGATTAAAGCTGGCCAACCGTGTTCCGTGCAACACGGTTATTACACCGCGGCCGGACAAACACGTGCTTCCACCGGCCGATTGACTTGTGCTTTCTTACGCAATCTATTTGCATTCCGCGCTCGAATAACAAAACGGTCGGCTGTTAACTCGCCGGACTATTGATTGCCGACAGGAATACATAAATCGAGTCGCAATGAGCGAGAAACGCAGCCCGCATCGGGCCGGGGTGCCACCAGCCGCACCTTTCTCGAAAGAATTCTGCGCGGAAAGCCACCTGAAGGGAGAACGATAGGGACTTGAACCCGACGCCGATTCCCTGCGTTCCTCTGTACTTCGATCTCAACCTGTGCACGTTACTTTCTTCGTCGTGTTGCCGTGACATTCCACGTTTAAGTCTGCACGTGGAACTGCATATCTGAACATGACTTTCGTGGCAGTCGACGAATCGAAGAAACTTTTGGAACGATCTAAAAGCCTTTTTCATTTTTCTCGATGACTTCCGGAGATTCTCTTAGTTAATTTTGATTCTTTCTTTGGATTATTCAGTATATTATGAGAACTGAAATTCTTCGTAATGTTTCTTTCAAGCGGTTTAAGTAAGGAGACTTTACTGAAGGGAACGGTGCTGGTGGAAACTCCTGTTTCTTCAGAGCAGCATTTATTGAGACATTCTACTATCGACAAGAACCATTGATTCCCGAGACCTGCGCCTACATTACACTAACCCTCTGCAGAGTAACTTAAATCTAAGTTAAATCTTGCTTTCACGCGATTCGTATTTAAATCCCGGCCACCCCCAAAAGGCTAACGTTCCACGATCTCATGAACATCGCCCGGCCAGGCTGCCTGCATAAAGACATTATTTCCTCGCAAGCAGAAGTGAAAGGTAAAGCGTTTTCCTAATGAACACGGCAGACTGCCGACCACGCGAGTACGCGTCGAATGTAGTCCATCAACCTGAAAAGTGAGACATGCTTCGCACACCTCCCACCGGAGGGTGGAAGATCATTCGAAGCAGTCAATACTCATTTATCACGAACGCCACTGAAGGATTCTATTATAATACGCTTACAAGAAGAACTCAAACGAACGACAAACTTTTCATAAAATCATCAAAGACCTCTATCTTACAAGCATCCTTGCATTTCAGGAAAAAAGGCAAAGTATTACCCAATATTTCGATCCAAAATTATAACCTAGAATATACGAAGCTGTCTACTTGAACACCAGATTACTTCATCGAGATATCCTAACAATGCCCAATAAAATCACGCAAAAAGGATCACCTTCCCTCGTCAGAATTCAATCACCTCTACAAAGAGACTTACAAACGTCCTCCAACGGTCTATCCCTAACTCCGGTCCGCGGGCAATAAAAACGTCGGTGGGAGATCCGCGTTGGCACGATACCAATGGTCACAAAGGAGAGTGTCCCGGTCGGGTGGAGGACGAAATTGGAAAGGCGAATCACTAGCTCGGCAGCCCGGAAAGGTACACACGGAGAAAGGAGGGCGGTTGCCAAAGTGGTAGGGATGGGGTTGTCGGAGGAAGCGAGGAGGGGGTGGAGATGGAATAGCATCCTCTGGATTTGCATAGAACAGCGTCGCCGGCTGGTAGAGGATAGGCCGGGACTCAAAGGTCGTCTTGTTACGAGGTGATTCCTTGCAAGTGGTCTTTGCCATTTCCCATGGGCAGACCCATAAAGCGGCGGAGGTCGGCCGGCCTCGACACGATGGATCACGGCGATAAGGATATATGCATCGTGTTCTGCACCGTGTACCGGTACACCGGAAGTGATCCGCTTCGGCCGTGTGTCTCGAAGTTCGAGTCCCGCGCGCGCGCGCTCCGTCTTCGTTCGGCGAGCGAGAGCCGCGCAACCACCGCAGGGGTGTCCCTCTTTCGCGCCGGGTGATATCCGCCGATGGTTCGCGCGCGTGGGCGAATCCGACCGAATACCGGAGATCTCTCTGCCTCTTACTCTCGCGAGAGAGAGAAAGGGAGAGAGAACCGTGCGCCGCGTGTCTACGTGGGCCGTTCAACGATATTATAATAAAGGTCCAAGCGGAATGATAGAAAGGTACCAGGGAACCCGGTAATAACAGCGGACCAGGCAAGACCCACCGGATTGGCAGGTGTTCATCTCGCCTAGACGAAGAGGCTGAAAGAGATTGAAGGCTGTGGGCCTAGGCTTTTATCTTTGCAACGAAACAATAAACTTTACGGTCGCGCTAGAACCGAGACGAATTCCCGATGGGCAGGTTACGGGGATCTCGCTTGTTGCGCGAGGCCGATCGAAATTCGGCGATAGATATTTTATGTAACGACCGCCGCGGAATCGAACGATCACGTTTCCACGGGTACGATGCGGCTAATAATAAATTTCGCGTTACGTCAGACACGGTGCACACGTTTTTCCGCGATCGGTTCCCTTATCTGGCTTGTTTCTGTACGCAGCGCGCGCGGAGTACACGAATCCGCGCGCCCCGTTACGTACCATGCGGCGCGGCCGCTCAAAACGCGTCCGGCAACGAGATTCTCACGAGGAACACGATGTTCCACGCCCCAGAAACTGACGTATCAAGTTGCCACGATCCAAGTCGTCTCTCTCTCCCCCTCTGTCTCTGTCCCTCTCTTTCTCTCGCAGCGTCTCCGGCATCGAAAATTGTGCAACTCGCTACGTTTCTCGGTTTCCCTCGGCCGGCGCGAGCACTACGCGCGCACTCGGGCCGTGGCAGTCGCGAGAGCGGTGTAACGACACGGTATTATCCCGGTGCACGGGTTTTTTCCCTTCTTCTTCCAGCAGAGCGTGCCCCGCGCGCCGGATAAGATCTCGTAAACGAGATCGAAACTGGCCTCTCCCACGCAGGCATTATGCGGTCTTAGTTGGGCCATTTACTGCCCGCGCCGCTTGTATACACCGCTTCCACGCACGAAACTGTTCCCGATCGCATATAAATTTCTACGGGACACGGCCGTCGCGGAGCGAGGCGGGAACCGGCCTCTCGTGCCTCGTCCG